TTGACTTCATTTACATTACCAGTTTTGTCGTAATCGTCCAGCGCCCATCAAATCATTCATTTTCATCGAATCGATGACCTCCGAATTTCTGGTTACCAAATCCTCTAAATCCACTAAAATGTTTATGTTCTTCAAACCAAGCTTCATCATCATCTTCATCTTCATCAAAATGTTGAGGTCTGAATCCAGGGAATCCATCTTGGCCCGAAGGATGGAGGATGGAGTAAGCCAAATGCTGGTTGGGGTAAATTGAAGGGTGGTTGAGGTCGATTGTTGGCCAAAGCATTATTGATCTCCTTCAGCAACTCATCAATAGTCTTAAGAAGTTCCTCAGCTTCATTGTTTACAGGTGTTTCTTGATTGTCAATGGCACTTTCAGTGGTCAACTCGTCTTGTGATACAATTGCTGCACCAGAAACAGTGTAGACAACGAGGGATAGAATAACAATTGTAAATGAACGCATTTTGCAAGGGATTTTGTAATATCAAATCAAACTTTAAACTCGAATAATCTGAAGATAATGATTTGATCGAAGTGTCAAGGCTCATTTAAAAAACACAATCAAACAGATGCAGCAAGTTCGCGCTTTATGCACTTGAAAATACATTGGTTTTTATAAGCAGCTGAAGTTTAAATGGTTCTTGACTTATAAACACTTTCATTCAGAGAAATCGTTAAATTCGGCAACCATGGTTCTACCAAATTCGGCAACCATTATGAAGGAAGCAAGTTAGGTTAAACGACTAGGTTTGAATTTATTTTATTTTATGCATCTGAAAAAGCTCTGAAAAATTGCAAAGGATTGGCAGTTTTTTCACTTTATTAATCATCTATTGGATCCAAAAAATGAGGCAAATCATCGAAACTTTTGAAAAAACAATTTTCCATGAAATCAAATCCACGACATATTTTAAATGGATGATTTAATAACTGCGGCCAATCAGATTTGATTTGTTCGTCGTCTCTATTAAAATAAAACTTGATTGATCGGCCATGCTGTTTACAATAATTCCGAACATGATCAGCACCTTCTTGAGTGATTCCATAAGATTTACGAACATCAAGTAGTGTCAGTTTTGGCAAAATTAGTACTAATTCCTTGATGTTTTCCTCTCTTACATGTTGTAAATAAGTGGCTCGTATTGCCAAATGCTTTAGATTCGGATATTTGGACATCTGTCTTCGTAGGTCATTCCATTCGATTGACTCGTACTAACAAAATCGAAATAAATTTAAATTTGTAAATTAGTTAAGATGCTATTGAATAAATGCCGCTTGCTTTGAAAAAAATGTTTCAAAGTTCAAATGGCATTCGACAGATCAAAGTTTCATTCCATAATTGAGAAAATGAATGAATATCGACAATAAAATGATAAACAATATCGTGATAACACGCTTTTCAATAAAATATGAAATTCTACTCACAAATTCTATAACCAAATCTTGTAAGTTTGCAAGTTTTATTGAATAATTGACCCCGATGGGAAAGCATCTAATTCTTATATGAGCACTCTGTAATGCTGGGCACGAATCCATGAATACAAATGAACACCAAGCGTCTTTCCAGTCAATGTGAGGCCGCTCCATTTCAAGTATTTTAAGATTTGCCAATACTGGAGCATCATAGTAAGGTTCTGATGATTCTAAACATACATGAATAAATGAATAGCAAAAGTCGAAAGTCAAAATGTTTCAAAATTTGAACATTATTGAGCCATCACAGCAATAATCTACAAGGTGGCGAGAAAGTTTATGTGGAAAGGGGAAAATAAAAGGGGAATAAATATGCGCATATAAAGAGCAGTTAAAGATTTAATGGGTGTTACTTAACCACATGAACTTTCTCGCCACCGTGTATTGTGCCTGAACAGAAAAGGCTTCAGAAAACAATTATAAAAAAAACATTGAAATAATATATGACATTGTAACATTTTATGAGATTACCTGGTTGCTTGTAAAATTTTAATCTTTCAAGATTTGGGAAATAATAGACCAATTCGAATAGATATAAATTAGACTCCCAAAAGTGCAATTGTTTCACATTTTCGTAGATTCCACTTATGTTTGGATTAACAAATCCGATAGATAACATTTCGAAGTTAGCGATTTCCGGCATCAATTCAAAGCCACAATTTGTATCAATCATTATTCCTTTCAAATATTTTGAATCTCTGATTACTTTAGCAATATCTTCGATCGGTGATTTTTTAAGTAAAAGGCCTGAAAAGTAGGCAATCTGTCATGATGATGTTTGTAAAAAAATAAATATTATAAGAAAATTGAAGTTAAATAATATAAAATCTGTCAACAAACCCTTAAATTTGGAAACAATTTGCTCAAACATGTTATATCAATAGGTCGCTTTACGAAATTAAGAGCATAATCAGGCGAAAACGATTGGTCTGGAATTAATAATTGATTTTATTAGGAAAATGGTTATCAATGAGAATAAGTAATAATCAAAATTCAATCTTACTAAATAAATATTTGACTCTTTTTGTCCGACCGACGATTACATTAGACCATTTTTCGCAAACTGAAATTGGAATTTGTCAAATTAATATTAACGCACAAACATAACTTCAAATTAAATAAAATATTAGTATCTGAATATTGCGATTTATCAGTCAGACGATCAACAACATTCATAACAGTATAGCAAAAGAGCTTTCATTGAAACATTTTTTTTGTATAAATTTTGAATAATATGTTGAGCTTTTATCATATGCATAACTGTGGTTCCAATTGATAGCTAAAAAGGTTTTCAGTATAATCTGATTTCGCTCACATTTAACAATAGCAATAAATGAAATGATTTGCACTTACCTTTGAAGCAGTTTATCAAATCTTCTAAACCTTGCATGTAATCAAAAATAGTCCGCAAACAATCATCTGGAAGTTCATTTATCAACATTGTTAAATCATCTTTGAAATGTTAACTTTAATCAATTTCCGTTAATAAAACTATAATAATTATCAATGAAAACAGCTAGTCGATTCAGACGGCAAGTCAGTTTAAACTTTAAAGTGAAGCTGACATTAGAGTTAGATTAGAGTTGTTCCGATATGATTGATCGATGGAAAAGATCGATAATCGGGAAGTAAAAAAGTAAAAAAGGATTTAAAAAAGTTGAATGCGATGTAATTTTTCACTAACCAGAGCCTATTGGTTTGTTAAGGAAAAATTTTGGATTTACAAACCTTATTTTTAAACGATGGAAAAACAATGAAGCCGAAATCGTACTGGCCTGAAATTTTTATATATTCACTGTTGATTATCTCATAATTGTTCATTTTCCGACTCTGTCGACACGACTAAATGAATAAAAATAACCTTTAAAGCAGACAAAATAACTACTGCAGTTTGGAACCGATTTGAAATGGAAACCAGAAAAATAACAACTCAATGCTTTATGGTTGGTGATTGTTTTATCCATCTTAATCAAATCTCCTCAACTAATCAACCTTTTAAAAGGATTTTTTTTCAATTATAATTAGGTATGATCTAATTGAATCTACTATGAAACAGAAGTTTTCTGTGTGAAATTGAAGTATAAAATCACAGAATCTAGTATCTAATGACGAGTCTTGTCCTAAACTGTAAAATTCACAATTTATTTATCATTCATAATATCAACAGGTTTCTCATTGAAGGACATAAACTTTGAGAGGCAATAATTCAAGACTAGTGGTTAACCAGCATTGACTGGTGTAATGACCAGTCAATTCCATCAAAGATCCATAATTATAGTCTGCTTAAAGGGTTACATTTCTTTCAATATCGTACACCATATAGCTGAAACAAAAATTAGATGCAGAGGATTGACAATTATGCTATCATTTGCATTTTCAATCATCTATTGGATCCAAAAAATAAGGCAAATCAGTGAAATCTTTGAAAAAACAATGTTCCATGAAATCAAATCCACGACAAATTTTATCTGGTCGATTTAATAACTGCGGCCAATCAGATTTAATTTGTTCGTCGTCTTTTTCAAAATAAAACTTGATTGATCGGCCATGCTGTTTACAATAATCCTGGACATGGTTAGCAGCTTCTTGGGGTATTCCATAAGATTTACGAACATCAAGAAGTGTTAGTTTTGGCAAAATGAATATCAATTCCTTGATGTTTTCCTCTATTAAATAGGTGCCTCGTAATGCCAAATGCTTTAGATTTGGGTATTTTGACATTAGACTTCGTAGTTTATCCCATTCGATAAACTCGAACTAACAAAATAGAAATAAATTTAAATTTGTAAAATTGTTAAGATGCTATTGAATCAATGCCACTTGCTTTGTAAAAAAGTTTGACAGTTCTAATGGGATTCATGGCAAATCAAAGTTCACCTCATATTGACATAAGGATGGTATATCGATCATAAAATGATTCACACTATCGTGATAACTCGCTTTTCGTAAATATGAAATTCTACACACTAAATTCTAAACCATTCTAGTAGATTGCAATTGATATTAGATCATTGTCATCATG